CTCCTCTATGTTTCTCCTCCTCCATGTTCCTCCTCCATGTTCCTCCTCCATGTTCCTCGTCCACGTCGCTCCTCCTCCTGCTGGGGGAGGAGACGGTGGACTCGCGTCTTGCCGACACACACTCGGCTGTGGATGATGTGTGTGTGCGGCAGCAGCCTGTCAATCAATCACACACTAATTCCCAGGGTTCCGTGGTCGCCATTAGCGACGGGGGTCGATGCTCGGTAACCGTGGACACAGCGGCCGGCCATCGATCCGGGCTCGGTGTGTTTGATAGTCATGATGGAGGACGCTGCTGCCGCATCGATCCACTCCGGCTGCAGCCAGGCGGAGCGGGCGTCCGGACGCCGCGTCCGGGAGGGCGTGCACGTACACGCGCACGTACACGCGCACGTACACATGCACATACACATGCACATACACATGCACGTACACGCGCACGTACACGGGCTGTAAAATAAAGTTACTTTGAAGACGTCTGAGCTGTAATTATTTAGCAAATGATCGTTATTTTACAGCTTATCTTGCAAAAACAAACAGAACAGGATGAATTGATTTAAAGAAAACAACAAACAACAACAACAACATGTAAATAATGTCCACATGGAAAGTCTGTCGCTGTTGTTTACAAAAAAATAAAAAAGATTTTCTGAATTAAAATCAGAACAAAGTGTTACTGAACAAATATTTTACAGAAATACGAATATTAAGGAATAAAAACGTCAGTTTCTGGAATAATTGCTCAGATTTAAATATTAATAATTTACTGTGAAAGTTATGGTACGTTTAAAAAAATATCTATGTAAATAATAACAATAATTAAAATAATTAAAATAAGCCAGATCTCCCCTGTTTTGTGAAATTACAGGCAATAATAATGAAAAGTATGAAGTTACATGTTCACTGTAAAAATAGAACCAGAAAATTGTGTAGATTTTTTTTAAAAATTAAAAGTATTTGAAAAAAATGTAACTGTAATTTTGTTTAACAATTTACTATTTTTTATTTTTATTTATTTGTTTTTACAGATATTTGTTGTTTTTGGTAAATTACAGGTAGCAGTGCATAAAATAGTAGAAAAAATATATAATTTACATATTAAATGTAAAAAGGAAAAAAAAAAACTGGCCAAAACGTTAAAACATTTTTTTTTTTTTTATCATGATTTTATAAATGACAGCCAGTGATTGGCTAAAAGCATAATTATTTTACAGACATTTGCTGTTAATTAAAAGAACAATTATGTAAATGATGTGCTGGAAAATGTGAAATATTTAACTGTTATTTTACATTTTTTCACAGTTTTGTGAAATTATAGTCAATAACTAATAGAGTCAGAAAAATGTAAAAATTAAAATAATTTACTCGTTGATTGTAAAAAGAAATAAATAAGTGGTTCATTATTATCTTTGCTGTTTTATAGATGTTCTGTTTTGTTAAATCACAAATAATCCAAACATTAAAATCACATAAAGATAATAATAATTTACATGTTGACTGTAAAAAACAAAACAAATGAACCAAAACTGTAAAATAATGTTGACATAAAACCATCTGTGCTCCGCTGCAAACAGGGTTTTACTGAATTTAAATCCATTAAATGTCATTCTTTTACAGATGTTTGCATTTTTCCAGGTTTTTACATTTATTGAAACGCTCCAGTTTTTGCTGCCAGACTTTCAGAAACTTAAACATCAGAACGGCTTCATGAGATCCTCCAGAACCTCCTCAGACAGTTTTTACTTATTTCATGTTGTAATCATGCTGGACAGCTTGACTTATGTTGGACATATTATGAGTAATTGTGGAGAAGTTTAAGTCAAAATAGCAAAAAACTGGAACCCTGCAGCGTAGCGACCCACGATTATACTGCTCACACATCAAATTCTCGCTCCCAAATAAAAAATACTGAGTAACGTACGAGATGATGGATCGACGCCACGATCTGAAGTCACATGAACGGAGCCTTTAGATCAGTTCACGTGAAGTTATTCAGATTTTTCTGTCGTTAATTGAAGAGAAGCTTCACTTTCACA